AGGAAGGAAGGAAGGATGGAAGGAAGGAAGGAGGAGCTTAAGAAAATAATCAGAGCCCCTGATTATTTAAATTGACATTATTTCAAAACCTGCTATGTTCTAGTCATTATGGGAGCAAAAAAAGGGAAATTGAATAAAATAATAGTTCTGATCTCTTGCTAGGGGGGAGGAAGGCATGTTTACAACAAAGTATTACACAAATTCTAAATGATAAGCAACATACTATGGACACCAATAAATGCTATGATAATACACTGAAGGGGAAGTTTTTTTCCCCACAGGAATTATTAGGAAGGATATCACATGGTACTGGTCCCTAGACCCCAAAGGATGATGTCTTAGGATTCTGGACAAACGTTTTCCAGACATAATCCTAAAATCTTTCTGGATAATATTTGAACAATCAAATTAAAGGTGTTGGAAACTAGTTTTACTCCATACCCATTGTGAAAAACAATAAATTCTAGAAATTACAGATTGAAATAAAATAGTTTAGGTTATAGAAAGGATGGTTTGTGAGCAATCAGGAAATTACAGGGACCAGCAGAGGCCCAGACAAATTCTACTTGCATTGGGACGGGGCTGACTAATAAAGGAGTACCAGGCTGAAGTCTGGGCAGGCTGAGCCCATTTTGGAGGTGCCAGAACTCCAAGGGGGAAAGCTAATGTATTAGCGGGAAGACTCCAAATTTGAAGAATTTTGAAAGGCTGGAACCAAAGAAATAAAATGTAATAGGGATCATTGTAAAACCTTCTATATAAGTTGTAAAAATTCATTTGCAACACACATAATGAGGATCGTGTCCTCATGGGTGTGTGAGAAAGAGAATATCAAAAAATGACCAGTTTCTGCGCTCAGCCTTATTTAGTAAAGGACAATAAGAAATCACAGGTCTTTCATAGAAGGGAGTCCCAGGAAGAGAATTACCTAGAAATTATGCTACCTGAGGAGGGATTGAGAAAATTAGAAACTTCAACTTGGAAAAGAGACAGGTGGCTTGCATCAGCAAGGAGATACTCGCATGGCTTGTGAATGGTTCCAGGTGTCCTCATTATGTCCAGGTAGAAATCACATCAAGGGCTCTCACCACAAGAGCAGAAGGATGTTTCCCACAGGGAAATGTATCTCCAGGAAAAGCTGATGTGCCTAGCAGGGACTGGGCTGAGCCTGGAGAGGAAGATGACTCGGCCAATGGAGAGAGGACATGGGAACAAGAAACCACCGTGTCAAGTGGAGAACGCTGTGCTGGACACGGTGCAGAGGGGTGCCTGAGGTCCAGAGAACCAAGGCACCAACTTCACCTGGGGGGCTTGGAAGGCTGCGCAGGGCAAGTCGCATCTGCATGTGGTGCAGTAACAAAGGAAGCTTTCCAGGAGCTCTGTCATGGGGTCTGCAGAGAATGCAAGAGCGAGAACCTGGGGCTAGAGGCTGGACGTGAGGGGCAGCAGGGCTGGAAAGACTGCTTGGGACCAGCATGCGAAGGCTCTTGCTCTGTGCCGAGCCCTATCGGCAGGGAGGTCCCTTTGAGAGTTGCAAAGCACAGGTGTGACACAGTGAGGGGCATGTTTCAGATCCATCCCCCTTCCTGCAGGTGCATGTCACCTAGAGGACTGACACACTGGAGGTGGGGAGGCCAAGGAGGAGGCTGCTGACTCACCATGAAATTCGAACTGAGCAGAGAGAAAAAAAGCAAAGGTCCCATGGGGACATGTTGAGGTGACAGAGCAACAGACTTGAAAGCTAGCTAGTCAAACCTGAGAGTGGGAGGTGGGGCGCCGTAAGGGTGGCAACAGCATCGACCCCTTCCTGGAATGCTCGGTGGCCCAGCTCATTTGAATATCTGCCCAAGACACTGTGGCAAGGAGGCAAACATTGACTGCAGTGCTGACTTGAAGATTCTTTCATGCTCTTAAGATTCCATGATTCTAAAAGTGTTCTTCACTTGCCCCAGATTCTCTTCTCACCCCTAAACAAAAGTGTGTCCGAGATTTTGTCATCTCTTTTCACTATCCCTACATGAATATGAAGAAGACCCTGGACCCCATCTCAGTCCTGACATCTCTCTCAAACTCGATTCCAGATCTGCCTGGAATGGCCTTACCTCATGTCCCACAGCTTACGTTAACATGGCCAAGTACTGCGGTAGGTTTGAAGCCAAGCATCTCGGCTCCACCCACATTGCTGCTTCCATGTCCTTTCAGACTCCTGGGCTTGTCGCTGTGTTACCCTACATCCAGCCCTGCATATCCTCAGTCTTGCCATTTCCCTGGACTCCCGGCAGCCTCTCTGCTGGTCCCCTCCACACCCAGCAGTCCAAATTCTTGCAGACACCATCCATCTGCTCTAGCATCAAATGCTCCCCGCCCCCATGCTCACTACAGCCAACCCTCCCAGACTCTCACCTTCGCCACCAAGTCCCTGTCCCCAGCCCCCATTGCACCCACTCTGGATGGACTGATGCTAGTACACAGCACCCACACCCACCCATCACCACCTCTGCTCTCCTTTCCCTCCTCTTCTTGGTCCAGATTATGGCCAGTAACACAAAGTCACACCTCCTCAACTCCTTATGCCTTGACCAACCCCAATTCACAATCACTCCTGGAAACTTCTCTCTCCAGTCAAACTGACCTACTCCTTGCTTCCTGAAGGAGCTCAAATTCCAGTGCACACTGATTTTGTGCCATGGAGCTCTCTTCCCATTGGAGCCTATGCTATCCGAGTCCCATGCTCCCTTTAAGATGAGCAGTCTTGGATCTTTCCAGATTGACTCAACCTGAAACAGATGATCCTGGGATCATCTTCCTCAGTCCGCTGGCACTAGGTGTCTGTGCCTCTGTGTGTCCCTGAGGATAGGACACAAATCCCACTCTATGTATAAAGAACCTTAAGGATAGTGTGGAAAAAAAGTTTGAACCAACAGACATTGGTTATGAATTCCCGCTCAGCTGCAGCAGATTACGGAATGTATCTGGGTCTCAGTTTCCTGGTTTCTGAAGGAGGGCATGATAATTCCCAGGCAGAGACTGGCACAATCCAGATTCCCAGTGTGTGCTCCGTTGTGACCGCAGCCCACCCCGTGTCCACTCCCAGAAGACATTCGCACACAGTCCCCACCCAGTGCCACCTGTGTTGTCGAGCCCCCATCACAGTGAGTAAAAGTCCACCAGCGACTCCCAAGAGCAAACTCACAGAAGTGAATTTCAATTAATAGCAATTCTCTCACAATTTCAGATGAAATCAGGAGGAGGACATAGTAACCAGACAGAAAGAGAAAGGGATGTGTTGTAAGATGATAAGAGTAGGGAAGCATGGACCAAAATGGCTCAGGGTGGCGGCAGCTGTGGACCAGCTTAATCACAGCGAAGACACCTGCTTGCAGTTAGAGCATGCCAGTATTTGAGGGGATCTCTTTTCCCACATGTTGGATGATATAATTCCTTAGCACATGGATATGAAAAAAATCATGAGAGAGAAAACTGCGCTGACTTCAGGAACAGAAAAAGCATGATGATAATGAGCAAAATAAGGAAACCAGGTCCATTCTGAAGATGCTGGAGACTGAATTACCTTCCAATCATGAGCTGAAGTACAGTGTGTACTCCTTAAATTTCCCCCTCTTTTTTAGACTGTTGAGCTAGCCACTGCTTGGCTGTTACATAGAGCTAATTAATCCCACGCTTTTGGCATGATATATATATTTACTTTGCAAGTGTTAAATCATTCAGGAAGAGAAGAAACTCATATCTGCTTGGTCGTTTCAGAGAAAGACATGAACTAGGAAGTTAAAAGCTGGTTTGCTTTCTTTGCTTCACCATATGGGTGGGGTAGAAGAGAGCTGTTTCATTTCCCAGACTGAGCCCATCTGTGCACAAAACCAGGGCCCCATTGTGAGGTTACCAGTGGGAGCTGGCATGGCTGACTTGAAAAACTGAGCTTTGGTTCATGGAGGCACCAGCCTATGGGTGGTTATCCCCGTGACTGCCCGCGCCCCCTCAGTAATCCCCTGCTGCTCCCGACATGACAATGATTGCACTTAAATGTCAGCCCCCAAAAGATGAAAGATGAGATGAGAATGCTCCAACATTTGCATTTCTCCCCTATAGAGCCAGTCACATTGCTGAATCCATTTCCAGAAAGTTCTGTTCATTGAATACTACTTTTAACATCAAGACTTTTTAAAAAGAAAAGCAAGAAGAGGGCTTTTGTATTCTAAGAAAGCAAACATTCATTTCTTGCTAGAACAAAATGTGTAAAAAGAAAAACAAATTATATTTTAAGGGAGATGAGGACTTCAAAGCAATGCCACCAAAAATGTAGAATTTTTTTTCCACATCATTTTTAGACAGAATTTCTTTTGTCAGGGGTGGTAACCAAGTCTTAGTAAACAATGTCCTCAGAGACAAAAAATAAAGAAAATTTTTACTTTGGAATTTGAAATAAGCATCTGAGTTTCTAGACACAGCGATATGCCATTTATACAATTCTTTGATCAACCTAAGGAACTCACAGCTCTATAATAATGCCTTTTTAAAGTGATCTATAATGTCATATGTTTTTAAATTTTGATATTTTGATAACAAAAAGAGTAGAATGTGTACTACATAAATAAACTGCTTTCAAAATGTTAATTTTCTGACTACTGAAAATAAAATTGGGTTTTCAAAAATAGGCAAATAAATACACTGTAAGAAGACTTTAGCAGGTGTCTGAGAATTTTTATGATCCCAGAGTATTATGCTTTTTTTGAAATGTATATTTATGTTTATATGTATCTATATTTCAAATATATATATATATTTCAAATATATATATATTCTCTCATGTAGAAGAAATAAGGAATCCACTAAACTTTTGGTTATTACTAGTGATATACGGATTTACATTTACATTTTAAAATGGCTGTTGTCATCTGACTCTGTAGAATATTTGTCGTAAATGCCTAAGTGAATGTTAATGAGTTGTTTATCATGTACTAATATTGACTTTCTTTCCCCAGATGCGAAGAGTTTAGCTGAAATGCTCATGAGGTAAGAACAAAACCTACCGTCTCAGATATCATGTTTAAAAGAATAATTTCCAACTTGCTTTAATGCTTTTTAAATAATTATCTGAAATTGAAAGCACATCTTACTTTTGATACATAAAGTCCATTCTACGTACCAGAGATCCATGTTATGCCTAATATGATATGTATATACCAAATAATATACTTTTATACATGCCATAGGTAGTTGTCTTGTTGACCAAACTCACCCAGTGGAATGTTTCCTGTTAAGCTGGGAATAAAAAGGCACATCAAAGGAAGTAGCTTTGGTTTTGTTTCCACCTAAATATACTACCTTTGAGGTTGAGCCTTCTTCTTTAACAGTTAGTCAAGTGAAAAGAAAACCAAAAAGGCTTTGGGTGTTACGCACAACTAATGAATCACTGAACACTACACCAAAAACTAATGATGTACTATATGCTGGCTAATTGAATTTAAATTAAAAAAAAAAGAGGAAATGCATTGTGCACTGTGCTTTTCTAAGGAGACGGGATGATCAAGAAAGATTCTCCTTGCCCTCAGTACCCATGGCACCTTGAGCACCCCTCCACTAGAGCACTCACCAACTTCTGCTGCAAATATCTATTCACTGTCTGGTCTTGGAGGTCATAGCCTGATATGTCATCCTCATGTTAGAAATACCAGCACTATAGTTGATGAATGACTAGTGGTAGTTGAATAAGTAAGTGAATGTTCACAGCTGTAGGAGACACCCCAGTATTTACATTTTAAGCCTTTTTTGTATTGTAATGATTAAACCAAAAGCGAAAAAGGATAATCAGAGTCTGGAAATCAGATAAGAAAAATGTCAGGGACCCTGATGGTGCTGCCATTTTAGGATACTGTAGGAGAAAAAAAGGATGGGCTATGGGGTCTCTCCTACCCCCCACCCCACCACAGTTGGATTTAACATCCTTCCCCATCTTTGCATATAGAATTGGTACTTTTTTTATTATTCACAAAGAGCGCATAGCCCATATCACCAGTATCTTTGAAGACCTAAGGCAGAGGTCAACTGCCACTGGCCCATTGATTACATTTTACACAGACATCTTTGTTTGGCCATACCATGTTTTAAAACTATGTGCATTGTAGGTAAAGGATATGGAGGACTCAGGATTACTCTGAAATATTTGGAGTGAGCAATTAAATAAACATAAGTGACGTTTGCTAAAATTAGGAATTAGGAAGATAGATGCAGGGTACAGACTTTTTTTTTTTTTTTTAGGACAGGGGAAGGGGAATGTTGATGGGAATGAAAAGACTTGTATGGGTCATGTTGAATTTGGGATGCTTTCCAAGTGTCCAATGAAAGTGTCAAACAGATAGCTGGTAGCAGGAACCTAGACCTCAGAGGAGAACTCAGAAATGCAAATGGCCTGTAAAATGTATCTTTCATAATGGGTCTTTGACCACATCCTTCTAGATCAAACTTGCATGAGGAGAATATGAAAGTCTATATGAAATGCTCTGAGTCCATGCTCTAATGTAAGTCTGTACTTGTTTGCTAAGCAAGTATTGGGACATTTTTGTGGTCACGCGGAAGGCATCCAAACACACATGCACCTGTGCAAAGCAAATCTGACAAAATATCTGGAAAACAAAACAAAACAAAAAAAACAAGCCAGAGTCATTCAATTTATAGTAACTTATCTAGCAAATAAAATAAACTTTCTAATGTAGACTTAAAAATATGAATTCATTGATGACATTTAGAAACTGAGAGATTTCTTTTTTCTTTTTTTATTATTATGTTCAATTAGCTTACATGTAGTACATCATTAGTTTCTGATGTAGTGTTCAGTGATTCATTAGTTGTGTGTAACACCCAGTGCTCATCACATCACTTGCCCTCCTAAGAGATTTCATATAAAATTGTGGCTTTCTGACTTCTCTTGAAAATATTCTGGCCATACTGGGCACAGCTTAGAGATAATGGCTGTCTGGAGCTCCATCAAATGCTCCCTGTAGACTGGGCATGACTTTTGCCCTGTATAACAGATCACCATCCCCATCTCCACCCCAGCCAACTTCACTGGTTTGTACCCCAGCCTGGGTCCTGCAGCTCTCCCAGAGACCTTCCAGCCACTTCCTTTGGCCACTCTTCAACCAGAGATCATGTCTCTGCCCAAAGCCCGTGACACTGGAATCTGTGTTTTCTGACATGTTCAACGTTTGTTTGGTTAGGATGAGTTGGTATTAGCTTCTCTAATGTCCTAGAATGCATCCCTCCGCCTTCTTATTAGCCCCAAGCAAGACATCAAAAAGCATCTTCTTCATTAATAGGTCAGTCACTGTGGTTGAAAGACCACCTCTTGAGTAAAGCAGGAATTAATAGTGGTATTTGAGGTTAACAGTTGCCAATATGAAATTAGGAACACTCAAACTAGTAATTACTCCCACTTAAGGTAGTTGAGGTGGTTTTCCTTCAGAGGTACAGTGATTGAAAAGGAAGAGAATTTCCAAGCTTCTCAAATAGGTGGATTTTTATGGGATTAATTTAGAAGCAAACGCAATGCTTTTAATCATGAAGAGTCAGTTCACTCTAAGTTTGGCAGGTTAATGGGGCCAAGCAACAAAAGACCCTGTCACCTACCTGGAGATTTGAGGGCCAACCGTATTTTGAATGTGGTCTAGAAAATCTGGGCAAGTCATATCTGTTGGTATAGAGAAGGCTACAGAACTGCTGTCTCTGATCTTCGCTGCTGCTTGAGTGGGAAATTGAGGACATAGCAGCCTGGTGCGGTGAGAACATAGAACCACAGGCCTACATTGTAGGCCTCATGTTGCCACCTGCTGGTTCTGTGATCTTGGGCAAGTCATTTTCCCTCGTATGCCCCACTTTCCTCATCTAAAAATAACAATTTGCAATATTCCTAGCTTTATCATTCTGTGATCTTGGTGAAGGTAACATATTTTCCAGCCATGTTCCACAAAAAATGTATCTGCATACTTTAGTGGGATTAGCTGTCCCAGGGCCAAGAAGGCAGATGCTAACTGTGGGACAAACACAGATAAGCTGGTGCCAGGGTATCCCCCACAAGGTATCATCTCCCATCTCCCGTCGCTGGGCTTTGTGCATCTGCACATTCCTCTATTTCACCCATGCAAATCACCCCCCACAGAGAGAGTGAGAAGAGAGACTTCACCCACCATGCCCAAATAGAAAGGGTTTTCCTTTTTTATGATTATGTGAAAATAATTTAAAGAAAAATACCAGCCTTCTAAGAGGTAAGACTAGCCTGCTCTGAGGCATTAGCCAATACGTGGTTAACATACAAAGACCAGTATTATTAAGAGCTAGCTATAAGTGGAAAAGGGTGGAGAAGGGTTCAAACTGAGAACTTAAATAAGTTTAGCTTTTTTGATGTTCAAATTTTTGACAAATAGTAAAAAAAAAAAAAAAAACCACTGAACTATTATAATGAGGTCCTGATAACCCTACAGTTATTCTAAACTTATGGAATGCTTCATATCATATTTGGGAAGGTGGGTGATGTGCAGACTTTTTCATCAGTCCCCTCCCACCCCCACAAAGCTTAAGGAAATACTAAGAGTTTTAACAACTGCAAGTAATTTATTGGCTAAGCTGGGAAATACAATCCTTGGTGAACGAGGGTCAGCTCTTTGTCATTTTAATCAGACAACCAGATGGCAAATAGATGGTGGAAGATGATATTTCAATAATAACTAACATATTTAGCATGATCCCATATCATATAAAAGATGCAATTTTGTTTCTACAGTGAAAACATTCAGAATCGTTTCACAAATGAGTTTTCCTCAAATAGGTTTTTCTTGGGGGGGGGAGGGTTTACTGCTGTTTTAATGACCAATTGTTATAATTTTAGAGAATCAGCCTTCCTAGAACCATAGATTATAGAATATGTCAGCCACATTAAGAAAGTTGAGACCTAATAATCCTTTAAAATGAGAAGGATATTACTGCCTCTGGGACCTGTCACTCACTCCCACTGAACCCCCCAAACAACATGATTTATTCAACAAGCTTCAGCAAATACTTATTGAGCACCTACTCTGGCCACATACTGCTCTAAGTTCCAAGGGTATACAGGGGCAGAACGGAAGGAACTATCCCTTGTAGAGCTTATATTCCAGTGGAAGAGACAGATCACAAACAAGATAAGTCAATTAAACATATGCTCAAGAGTATTCAGTGCTGAGGAAACAAGATTCAACAGAGGATGGAGAGGAGAAGCATCAGCAGTGCCCAGAGCTGGGCCAATCTGGCTCCACTGAAGACAGCACCTGCACCAAGCCCTGAAGCCAGAGAGGGAGCCAGCCACTTGGCTACTGGGATGGGGAGAGGGAGCATTTCTTCTAAGCAAAGGGAATAGCAATGCAAAGGGAGAGAGGAACAATTGGCTCCTGAATCTCAAGGTTTGTTGGGCCATGTTCTTGCCTTTCCATTACAGGGCTTGACAGCATGCCTTCAAGGAGAAGGAGAAATTTACTTCCAGCTTTGATTGTCTCTGTTTATGAAGTTCAATCATATTCTAAGTCCTCATGCCCACTGCGGTGGGACACAGTAGCTATTTAGCATGCTTCCTGTGTCAGTCTGACAGTGGACCCCTTATTGTTAAGGATAGTCTGTGCTTGGGTTCATAGTGTTTAATAGAGCAGCCACTGACTGCCTCATAACTATTCATGATGAGCAGAAGGAACTAGCTCACATTTCTATTTTTGGTGCAAGGACAAGCTCAAGTCCCTAGCGGAGTTTCTAAACAGACCTTTCAGATACTCACAGAGGAGTAGTTCCCCATCTGTTTTTGTGGAAATAGAGCTTGTCTAAACTGCAACCCCCAAGTCACCAAAATGTTCTTCATTTTATACAAGTATTTGAATCTTTGCTTCAAAACACACACACACACACATACAAAATGAAAGCGTAGTTAAGTAAATAATTTCAAAAAGTATATAGACGATGTGAAAAATTCAGGCCAAACATTTGAATTTGGGCTCTGCATAATTAGCATGATCTAGCTACATAACCCAGTTACTTATCTGCAGAGCAAGAAATCTGGTTCAAGATCAAGTCCTAAGTAGGAATGACGCACCTCTTAGAAGCTGTTGTTTCTGTAGGTTGTTTTGTTTAGACTCAAATGAGGGAAAGGCCATTACAAAGTATTTGGAATATTAACACAGACTTCAACATGCAAATGTCTACAGGGGTTCTTGAGTGAACTTGACCTTTGGATTATTAATATTCCTTCAGCTACAGGGTTCAAGGGTAGATGAATCCTCATCAATAAGAAAGGACCTAGGACTCCTGGAGAATGCTTGGTTGAGAAGAAAAACCTTTAAGACGTAGTATGACTATCCTCTTATTGTTCTCTACTAAAAGTAACTAACACAGAGGTAAATCATCCAGTGAAGTAGGCTCCAGAAATCTTTCCCAAAGTAGATTTTGGCAATTGTTGAGCTGGATTTATGGATGCCATAGTTTATCACATTGATGAATTATTCTGAATGATTGTTGCTCCTTAGAAGTTGTTTTACTACACAGGTGACCCTTGAATGATGCAGGCATTAAGAGCGCTAATCCCCACATACAGTCAAAAATCCACTTATAACTCTTGATTTCCCTAAAACTTAACTGCTAGTAGCCTACTGTTGACCAGAAGCCTGACCCATAACATAAACAGTCAATTGACACATACTTTGTGTATTATATGTATTATATACTGCATTCTTACAATAAAATAAGCTAGAGAAAAGAAAATGTTATTAAGAGAATCATAAGGCAGAGAAAATATTACAGTACCAGACTGTATTTATGGAGAAAAATCTGCATATAAATGGACCCGTTCAGTTCAAACCTGTGTTCTTTAAGGGTCAACTATACATTATTTTGAAATCTTCTCAATCCTTACAACTCTGTAAAGACCACACAATCACTCCTGTGATGTAGGACTTTTTTGTGTGTTTTTGTGAAACATGCAGATAATTTTTTTTTCTGTAGGCTGTAACTGAATTTGATTATCCTATGCCATTTTACTACCTATTTTCATTTACTTCTAGAAGACAGCTCGCTCTAAGAGTAATTTTCTGGTACAAAAATTCTTACAGTAGTTGGGTTTTGTTTTTAATTCTAAAATATGATATCAGTTAGGATAAACTAGTGTCAGGGAAATTAACAAGGTTTATGATTTGTTACTAGAACAAAAATAAAACGACACCAGATGTAAATACAAATCCATTAGTAGAAACCCCACCCAATGAGCAGCCAGCACCCATGCTTCCTCCCTTACCATCACTGGAATATCTCAGGTCTGACAAATAAAAGTGTTGTTGGTTTAAGAATCACTTTTTTTTGTTTGTTTGTTTTACTTAGTGTTACATAAGAAAAGGGAAATTCCAAAGGTTCTATCAATATGGAACCAATCCCTATTGACAGTTTTCATTCTTTGAGCCTCACAACTGACTGCTGAAGCTTAATATTAGTAAATATCACTTGAATGAAGGGGAAAAAAAAATTTTCCCTTCTCCTTATCCCCTTTTCCTTCCTTGCTTTTTTTCCCCCCTCCCCTCCCCACAAGGTATTCAAATAATTGGATACCAAACCCAGTTGATGTATAAGCACCTGTTGGCATCATATAAGTCTGAACTGCATTTGTTCATGAATCCCCTCTATTTTATCCCCAGTAAGAATACCCGGACTTCGGATACCTTGAGCAAGCAACAACAGACCTTGAGAATGCACATTGACATACCCAGGGCTCAGCTTTTGATTGAAGAGAGAGACACAATGGAGACCATCGGTAAGGTGCCTTGTTCGTGGCTTCACACAATGTGGCTGCCATAGCTGTGCCCTCTCAGCCCAAACCCCAGTAGTTATGGGAACATCTTGAGTGCTACACAAGCAAAGGTAGAAGGGAGATAATTGTTACTGAGGAGAATAATAAATACCAGCAAATGTGGGAGGGGAAATGAACTTACACCTAGCTCAGAGGTCACCTGAGACAGGAGTTCCCCAACTTTGATCCATGCTGGATCTTTCCTGCAGAGACTATTGGTGCCTCTCCAAAGAACAAACACCTGTAATCAAATAAGCCTAGAAGGGCCACACACTAAAGCCCCATCCTAGAAATTCACTCAGTGCCTTCTTCAGCTACAAAAAGGCCTTCATTAAAGAAAACATTTAAACTCTATTTAGCATTTAACAAACAAGTGTCTTTGCATGGGCTGCCTTTTCGCCATCCCTCAGCACCATGCAGACACCCTGGGATGGGGTCCTTGGCAGTGCTTTGGGAAACACCCAGATCCATGTTTCACCTGGAGAACTTCTGTGTCTGGTTCGCCCAGAACCCTGCTGTCTTGACTCTTTCCAGCCCTTTCCATTCAAAATCCGCTGTTCTATACTGCCTTCGGACACAGGTCTATTTATTCCAGAATCAGAGACTTTATATTTCCATTGCAATAACGATCAGAAGAATAGCTAACATTTACTGAGGGCTCTCTAATGTCACCTACTTTTATAAGCACTTTATGTGCATCCTTTCATTTAACCCACCCAATCAACATAGGAAAAAGATACTGCTTTGTAATTGGAGCACCGAGAGCTTACATAGCTTACAGGTCACTTAGACTAGAGCAGAACCAGGGCAGGGCCCCCACCCAGCCACCAGCCTAGCCTCCTGTGACTGACTGTCACCGCCTGCTTCCATATCAACAAGCTACTTCCCAGAAGCCCTCACCTTAGAAATATCACTCAGCTTTCCAGTATCCATAGAAACAGACTCTAAGGCAGGTTGCCCAGTCTGGCCCTTTTCAAACTTTGCTCTGTGTTTGTTCTGGAAGGTGTTTGCTGGCACTTGGTCCCAGGGCAACCTTATCCTGTGGTTTGGCTAAAACTACCCCACTCCTGGCACCTACGCTAGAAGCCTCCTGCCAGAAAAACAGTGGAAATGGCCAGATTGGCAGAACATCTCCATTGCTCCTTGCTCCCGCCCTGCATGATTATGTTCTAATAGTACAGCAGAGACATCTTGACTTAAAAGTTCCTAAGTCCTAAGGTCTGGGCTGCTCTTGCTGGCTTTAAGTTTGGTTCAGGCATAATAGCACTTGGAGAAGGTTGGTCAAGCCCAGTGTCGCCCTCAATCAACTAAATTCAGTTAAATACTACCTGTGTTGTTGGAGGGCTCACTTACTCATCCTAAAATACATAAGATTTTATTCGATAGCTCCCATCAGGACATTTGTTCTTGATCACCTTTACCTTTCAGGAGTATAGCTGGAATCCCTTTTATTGAACTCAATAGGTTGGGCATAAAAACCAAGATTTCCTCTGAAACATCAGTTCAAAAATCAAAATATAATTCCTTTGACCTTATAATATAGTTACAACATTCTATAAATGTTCCTCATCAGACCTGTTAATCATTGTCCCCATGGTGGTTACAATAGGTAGTCATTGCTGGCCTAACACCAGAGAAAGATCTGCCCATCATTCTGTCCATCGTCACTGCCCTTCACCAGAGATGCGTCCTATTCTTCACAGGATCATCGATCACCAAGAGTCGTTTACCTCCTGGTGACGCTTGACAGTTGGTCAATGGCATTTTCTAATTATTGGGAAGTAGAAATGTGATGCTTTAAAACACTCTGGGCTCTGACTACAAGAATCCAATAGGAGAATGCCATTAATTTCCAGCCAGAATGAATGGTTAACCTCACACACTGACAGGCACCTGAAATTTCCCATTAAGAGTTTGTGCCCTAGCCCCGAAGATAATCCAGAGTGCTCTCCGCAGGGCTAAGTGTTGGAAACCAGAACACGTCAGTATTATTAGTGAAAAACAAACGTAGATGTTGGGCTTCTGATGCCAGGTCCAATTGTAAAAACCTGTTTCTGGAGAAAGGCCACCCAGTCTGGGGGCCAGGGGAAGGCTGCGGCGTGACCCCCCGCACTGAGCCCCGGATCCTGCTGCGGTACCAGCCCGCGCTGCATCCCACGCCAGGATGCCAGCAGACACCTTGGCAGTCTCTCTTCTATTTCCCTGCCAAGAAATTTTATTCTAACTTCAAGAGGCTTTCCTCTCCTGCCAGAGCCTGAGTAATTGGATTTTGTAAGGTTCATTCTGTTCAGAGCCTTTTTTGGACACAGAAGTCTAACTGTGTTGTTTATGACTTTCACATCACCGTTCTGTGTCAAGGCATACCGCAGCGTGGTCCCAGCTGACTGATAAACTCATATGAACAGCATCCCAGGCTGCAGTGCTTGAAAACGTATGAATATATCCATATATCCTAACGGAAGCTTCCCTTGGAGTAAAAGAGTTCTTAAGGAAGTGTGAAAAGTATCACAACAAAGTAATGAAAATCTTGAGACAACCAAATAAGGACACATAGCTCAACCAACAGCTTCCATTCCAAGCACTAAAATGCTCCTAATTCATCTGAACCCAGGCTCCTGCTTCCCTAACCTTCAGATGCCAACTGGGCTTGGAAATCTGACAAGTGAGTCATTTTGAGAAATCAGTTAAAGGATGTTCTAGAGTAATTGAGGCTTAGAAGAGGTGGGAAGGAAAGGAACATACATCAGAATCTTTAAAATAGAGGAATCAATAAACTCTGAAGACCAGCCCTTCTCCTTCCCGCACCTCCCCCCAACCCCAAGCATTGGCCAAGTTCAGCATGAGAGCCCCTCAAGTGTAGACAGCTGTGGCAGCGGTGTTCTTCTAGTCCTGCAAACAGAGCTGACTTGCAGCGGCAGCCCCATCACTGGGTGGTGCCGGCTTCCCTGCTGACAACTCAGGTGAGCCTTTGACAAATACAGAATTCCCGAACTCTTTTAAACAGGCAGCAGCAACAACAAGCCTCCCCAAATCAGTGTTTGCTTTGTGAGAAGACCCTCTCTGTGGTCATTCTCTTTCATTCAAAGCCAACACTTTTAGCACTCTCCAGTGGTTCTAATGTGGCACTTGAATATTTAGTGGTTTTTGCTGCTTTAGATGAGGCCGTAATTGCGGTTGTAATGAATGATAACACAAGGACCTGGGGAGAGAAAGCAGGGGAGCCATGGAAAGAGGGTAAACGTGTCCGGTTTCCCGTGTCCTTGCTGTTCTGCAGACGATCGCTCCACGGTCCTGTTAACGGATGCTGACTTTGGGGAGGCAGCGAAACAGAAGTCCCTGACAGTGACGCACACAGTCCATTACCAGTCAGTGTCACAGGCCACCGGGCCCCTGGTGGACGTTTCGGACGCACGGCCGGGAACAAGTAAGTGGTCAGACAGCGCAAACCGTGTGGGTGTTGTCAACACCGACAAGACATCGATGCTCTGTCCCTGTCAAATGGAGGTGGGGCTCATTGGCCCCACGCCTAAGAAACAAATACGCACGACAGTAGTTTTCTTTGGGACAGTGAGTTTTTACTGTTGGATCTGAGCTGGTATTCAAATTGTGTCAGCTGAAGCCAATAACCCTTGGTAGTGATTTACTATGAAAGTGCTAGAAATTTCAGGTAGAGGTAATTTTTTTTTTTAATTTGGACGACACTGGAAAAGAGGAAGGTAATTAACATTAGTGAGTATCTACTCTGTGCCAGGATTAGGATAAAAAGCTGATGTCGTGTATGTCATCTGTAAGGCAACCCTGTGACGTACCTACTTATAATAGGTATGAATAGATATGATAGCCTCTATTTTACCGGTAGAAAAAAAAAATGGATTCTCAGAGAACTTAAGTAAACAGCCCAAAGTTGTACGGATAATGCATAATGAAGCCAAGATTGAACTGTGGGTCTGTCCGTCCTTGGAGTTCATGCTTTTCTCCTGCACACGCTGTTTGAGAAAAATTGTTGTCCTGACTAATCCGGGGATTATGTTTGACTTAGTTATTAATATCTGCATCCATAATATATGGGAATTAATACCTGCAATGAAATTAAATTCCCTAATATGTATCTAGAGCTTATTAATCAGATATTCTTATTCCTTCATAATTGAAATTGTTTCTAAATCTCTTTAGAAAGACTGAGAAATTGATGTCCCGATTATCTTTTTGAAAGCTTTGATGTCTAGCTTTTAAATCTCTAATCACTCCGCAAAAATTTACATTCTCAGAGTGTTATAATTAGAAAAATAAATATTACAATGTTAAAAGCCGTTTTTCATAAATTCTGACTTGAAAAGCATTTGTGAAATGTGCCGAGCATCATGAATCAAACCAGTTGATTCCTAATAACATTGTAATTTGAAAAAGCTTTCAACTCTTAGTGAAATTCATTTGAAAAATTATCCTCAAGAACATGCTAAAGAAATCTTTTATTCCCCCTTTTGTCTAACCTCACCACCTTCCTTCCCTGATGACATTAGCACACACTGAAGACCCAAACGGGCCATGAGTGAGAGTTAATTCTGCAAGGGGGTGTGAGCAAGAGCCGTACTCTTAGAAACCGCTTCGTGGCCCTTGATATTCTCTGCAGCCACTGGCTTCCCCATCATCATTTGCGTGGTCCAGGGTCTGGATATAGGATGCTGCACTGATGGGTTTCTGAGCCACTGGTTGGTATTCAGTGAGAGAAAGACTATAGACCGGGGCGGGGGGGGCGGTGGGAGGTACTGAAATGGATGGATCCTTGACCTCAGAGTTCCATGCCCAGGCAGCATGGAAGCTGATAGAGACATTAACTGGAAAATAGGAAAGAGGCAGAGGAAACAGGACAGATGCCCAGACGGTGGTTCCCAGACTCATATGCATCAGGATCACCCAGGATGTCTGTTCAAAACACCCATTCCAGGGCTCTGTCCCCAGAGGTTCTGATCCACTTGGCCCAGGAATCCGCCTTGTAATAGACATTCTGGGTAATTCTGATGCTGATTGTCTGGAGCCCTCTTGGAGAAATATTTCCCCAAGTGTTAGACCTATGTGTGTCCCTGCCCCTGAGTGCAGTGGGACAGGATCTCTCAAGCTTGCCACACTCACAGCACATGCCTTCTTTCTGCCAGGTAAAACAAGCAAGCATTCCCACCTCCCCTTCAATGTTCGACTGGCAGAGCCATGCACAGAGGCCAGCCATAAATAGAGGAGAAAAGCACTGGGAAGCTCCCAACTGCATGATTACACCCCTACCTGGCTAATGGACACATTGACTTGGTGACTTTCAAAATATTAGCAGAGATGTGAATGTCGGTCATAAGCAGAAACTCGAGGCAGCAAGAGGCAAGTGGCAGGCCGGAGGCACATGGGGCGGCATGTCTGGGTCTCTCACACCTGTAACTCTAGAAGCATAGCTGGGGAACTGCAAGGATGCATGCATTCAGACTCAAATATATTCACTAAGGTTTTACTTGACATAGGGCCCAGTGATGGGAGTACATCATGAGACGCAAAAAGACATTCATTTCATCTTAGCGCAGGAATCAGATGCGAACAAAGAACTCAAGCATTTCTCCTTCACCTAAAAGAACTAGGGAAAAATAGGAGACAATGATGAAACGGTGAGATAGTGAGTCAGGAGGTGTTTGGGGGATGATGGGAGAGGCTACTTTGAACACAAATCCGTGGCCATGAGCTGACTTGCCAGGTGGAGGGAACAGGAGGGAAAAGCTCCTAAGGCCTTTGGGGGCAGGAGCGTCCCTGGATTGCAGTGGGCCACAGGCAAGGGGGGAGGGGCGTGGACAGAGAAAGAGGTGGCCTGGTCGCCAGGCCTCCTGGGCCAGCCTCATGAGTTTGCACCTCATTCTGAGAGTGTTGGGATGCTCAGCCCAGGGTTCAGCCTGGTGATCACATCACATTGAAGCAACCACAGCTCACAGAACACTGCTTCCTTCATTTGTGATGGACTTCATCCAACAGTGTTTACAAGCATTAGGTAGATCTACTCCAATGCATGCATCAGTCTCTAATTCAAAAAAATAAAAAGCAGAGCTATTCCTTTAGCATCTGCACAACATTCTCTATCAGTAAAAGATCTTTGGGATCATTTTTTCCTTAAGTATTCCTTCCAGAACCACACGAGGAGGGACTAAGAACACCCCATTTTTCATTTAGAAGTGGAAAGAATGGGCATCCAAACCCCCGCCCCGCAGACGACCGCCAGCAGGAGCCCACTCCCCACTGTGTCCTGTGCCCCCAAGTTTGTCACGGTGTCCACATGGTGCACCCGTCATCTCAGTCGGCTGGTTCTCCACACTGCAGTTGGGCGCATTTGCCGAGATGGGTTTGTAGTCTGTTTCCTCAGCTGCAGACGGCATCATTACTCTGTTCTAATGATGCTAGGACGGGGTCATCAACGTAGAAGCTCCTTAGTTTCGAGGAGAGCACCTACAGTATGTTGTTTTCACACTATCATGACTGCATCATAGAAGCTATGTTTCTAGGCATTTATTTTTTTAGTTTTCCAGACCTGCAACAAAGATTCCTTATGAGGATGGGAGAAATCCCAACAATTGGCTATTTAGCTCTTCAACCAAGGGAAACAGATGCCTCGGCTGTCTGCAGTTCTGTTTGCATCCCTGTCTCTCCTGTGTATTAGGGTACAGGAGAAAGTGGGGCGTCTGTGGGTGTCTGTGTCTGTGTCTCCCACCCCCAGCTCCAGCCACAGAGTCTGACACATAGTAGGCATCAGTAAACATACTTAAATATCAATCCACTGTCAAGTTCTGAAATCAGAGTAGAGGGGGTGGATAAGAAAGGATGTTTAGCATTTTAGACAGGACTTGGGCAGTCCATTTGGCCCCTCTTTTTGTTCTCCATTTCCTAAGACATCTATTAGGCTGGGCGTCTGGATGCCAGCTGATTGGAGGTTTGTAAGTATGTACATAGTCTCTCCCAGCACACTCTGTGAGACTTACCAATGAGACCATCACAGGAGAACTTGAATCAGCTTTCTTGCGCACAAACTGTGCAAGGGTACAAAGACACGTGAAGTGAAGCGTAAGAGACATGACCTGGGCTTTGGGGTCATATTTACCTGGAAGTCATCCCTTTGTCACCCATCTGGGCCAAGGGCATGTACAAGGGCTTGACTGTACTTGATGTACAGAGGGCTAGACTGGAAATGAATAGGACGCATGCCTGTCCTTACCAGCTCTACCTTTCAGCTCCTTTCTGCAGCATGGAAATTCTCCAGCATCTGGTCTTGATTTTTTTTTTAAGATTTTATTTATTTATGAGAGAGAGAGAGATCACAAGAAGGGGGAGCAGAAGAGGGAGAAGTAGACTCCCCACTGAACAGGGAGCCCGATGGGGGGCTCGATCCCAGAATCCTGAGATCATGACCCAAACCAAAGTCAGACACTTCACCAACTGAGCCACCCAGGTACCTCTGGTCTTGATTTTTTAATGAGTATTATTTTTTCTGCCAAACCCTCTCTAAACTGAGTCTCTAGCCTTCCTGATCAACCCACCAAATCTCCCCGACCCTCTTCCCAATAAGCAGGATGTGCTCCAACCCTTGCCAAGTGTTTAACACTCAGGAATCACAGGCCAGGCCCCGAGATCTGTTGAGCCCCTCCATGTGTCACAACAGCCCTATGGGTGGGTGAGGTGATAACCCCTCTCTCCGAGATGAGGGAAGTGGGCACGGCTGATGAGGTCACCACCAGCAAGTAGTGAAACTGGGTCAAAGGCAGGCAACTTAACTCAAACACTGTTAAGTGCTGTTAAGTGGAAATGATGCTTCTTAGGGGATGTCTAGGGGCTGAGTAGACTTACATATAGAAATAAGAAGAGTTCACAACATGGACTGACTCTTTTTTCATTGAGACTCTGGAAACCAACGCATACCCCATCATGCGGAATTGTACGCAACATCATACTGCAGGAAAATACCCGATGCAGGCGAGGAGTGTCCCGTGTATAATGAGCCTTTGATAAATACTTGTTCATTACGTGATGGGAATGTTCAGGCCCCACAGCGTCATCACCACATGCAGTGGAGGCCACGGCACCTACGAGATAGGACAGCAAAAGCCAGAGAATAAAAACATTAATACCCAGATCACAGTACACATGACATGTTTTATAACCCTATTAGCCACAAAATCCTCTCTTATCCCGAATTCAGGATGATTAAAATAATTTGATTCAGTGGGCAGAAAAGCTTAATTTAGGTTCAGACTTGGTCTTGAAAGGCCAAGAGTTATTTGTATCACTTACCTTCTAATTTGTTAACTGTTTAGCAAGCGTGATGGCTCATCACTAAGTTGTATTTACATTAGAGTGGTGGGGAGCCGAATAAAATGCTTTCCATGCAGGGACAGTAAATCTCAACATTTATTTCCTTAGCTGATTACCTGGTAAGGCCTACAAAGGAGGCTACCAAGTAGGGTCCAAGTCAGATTTTTATTTTAGCTGCTATCTTAGGAGCTATCATACTGAAGAGTTCAGCTCAGGTATAAAACAGCTCCCAAAACCTGATTATTAAAAAAAAAATGTGTCAACTATCCCAATATTCTACCTACTGGGATGATTTCGCCTCTAGGATGCTTGCTTAGAGCAGAACAGAATTGCAGCCTGTGGTTCAGAGAAAGTAATATCATGACCTATATTTCCAACGTTATCAGGCCACTGGTGAAACTGTCCTCATCTAGAAAAAAAGGATAATGAACAAAATTAACTTGAAAAGAGTTCTGGCTTTGAATAGAGGATGACATGTACAATGCGACCATGGAATTTTCCACACAGGGTGATCTCAGTGAGAAAGGGGCTATGGTCCTGCCCCACTATGGGTGGGCGGGTCAGTGGGAAGAAACACAAGGGAGGGTTTGGGAGTTTGAGGAAATAGTGTCCTTGAAGTGGGAAGATCAAACTGATACCCACCCACCCACCCAGCCCTACCGCCCAAGCATCCGTGCCAGGAGTAAATCTGATCCACAGCTGTAGTTGCAAGAAACATAAAGAAGAATAAAAATGAAAACCTTCAAAAAAATTTTAAAAGAAAACGAGAATCCTCAAATCTTATGTAAGGGACAGGGTAATTTTGGGGGAAAGATTCATTAGCATTTAAATAACAAGCTCCATTTATTGAAGCTCTACTTAGGAAGTCCATTGTACCTGGAAGATACTTAGCCTCCTACCCGTGAGAATATTTCTCTACCTCTTTGAGGACCTCTCTCCTAGCATTTCAGTGGAGAAACACAATTATCATTCATACCTTGCTGTCCAGAGAGCTTGGCGCTCGAGCATAACACATTCACATTCTAATCAAGGCAAAGAAAAATACATCTTCCAATAAAGTCTTCTGTGGAATTTTGCAAGTAAGGGATGAAATGTGTCTTAAAATCAATGCCCCAAAGAATATGCACCAAGATGAAGCATTTTGATGACCCAGGAAGTCTTAAAATATATTGATTTGGCTGCCATTTTAATGCTTCTCTCCAGCACTGTAGAATGATGGATTCGGTTCAAAGTCCAATAACTAGAATTTGTAAAGAGGAAAATCCTCCATTTGAAAAGAAAGTCCTTTCACCTCTTTCAAGTGTCTTGCCTCCCGTGATCCAAAATGGCTTTACAAAGGACTCAGTGTCACAGGGACACTGTATTAAATACTTAGGTGTCCAGGGTGGGGACATCTGGGTGGTCAAGTGCTGGGCAATCTCTGAACCAATCCATGGCGTCTTGGGCTCCCTACTTACCACTTAATAGCTGTGTCACTTTCCTCTGAGCATCCGTTGCCTCATCCATAAAGTGACCCTGGGCTGTGTGTGTTCATCCAGGGGACTCTGTATACCAGAGATTATCATAGGCTCTGTGAATGGACCCAAGGATGAACACCCTGACCCCTGCCCTAGAGAGACTTCCAGGCCCATGAAAGCACCTTAGTAAGTCACCGTCCCAATGCCAAGGGTTGGCCCTCTCTCTGTTGATCTTTTTATCCTGCTTCATTAGTGCTAAGCAGTAAATATCGACTGCGGTGTTGAGAGGTGTCCAGACCATTTTGAAATATAACTGCATAAGATTCCTTTTTGAGAAGAAGAGAATTCAGTGGTGGAAAAAGCTCCATCTAGGACCTTATGTGGCCTTCAAGCTGGAGCCCAAGAAAAATCAGTCCAGGTCACTGAGCCTTTCCCTTATTCCACAAAATTCCAGAAAAGACAGTGTTGTGGTCCACTACAGTGTCCAGCCAAAGAGCTGAACTAAGAACTCTGTCCACCACATTGACCTGCTGTCTTTGGTTCCAGATTTAGAGAAAATGAAACCCATCTGGCACCTGCCTCTATCTATGTAAATCTCTGTTTTTGAAGAGAGCAGACATATAAAATTCAGACACCAATTAACTGTGTGTGCTGTGCATTGAATGACCCATATCTTTGAACTTTGACAAAGTTTAGACACTTCTGTTGAAAAGATATGTTACCATAGGCAAAAAACTAAGAGAGTATTCAGACAAAAAGTATCATCCTCCTGGTCTAGGAACTTGCAATTTAGTTGATGAGTAAAACAGTCCTACTGAAGGCAATGAGTAAATACAAAACCACAATAACACTGTATTGTTTCCTAGAGCTGCTATTACAACATACCACAAACTGGGGTGGCTTAAAAGAACAGAAATTTGTTGTCTCACCGTTCTGGGGCCCAGAAATCCAAATGCAAGATGTCAGCAGAGTCCCGCTCTTTCTGAAACCTGTAGAGAAGGGTCCTTCCTCGCCTCTGCCTAGTTTCCAGTGGTTGCTGGGGACAATCTTTGACATTCTTTGGCTTACAGCTGCAGCACTTCAATCTCTGCCTCCATTGTTCCATGGCTGTGTTACCTCTGCGTGTCTGTCACCTGTTCTTAGAAGGACACCAGTCATGTTAGATTGAAGGCCACCCTACTCTCCAGTCTGACTTTATCATAACTAATGACATCTGCCATGACCCTATTTCCAAATAAGTTCACATTCTGAGGTACTAGGGGTTAGGATGTGGACATTGAGTCCATAACTCCTGAGTCCAAATCTAATGTTCTCTCCCGCCCCCCACAGGACTTTTTAAAATGTTTACATTTCACAAAAATGTCTCAGACCATAAGAGAAAGGAAATGAATGCTCTGGACAGGGGCAGTCAGGGAAGGCTTCCTGGAAGCATGAATCCTGCAGGGGGGTCTTAGGGCTGGGTGGAGAGAACCACTCTCAACACTTGGATCATGACTGACCATACTCCTAGACACTAAGATATACATTATTCTTGGCTCTTCACAGATCCCACCACCAGGAGGAATGCAAAGGCAGGACCCACAGCAAGAAACCGGTATGCCAGCCAGTGGACCCTCAACAGACCGCACCCCACCATTTCAGCACACACCCTCACCACAGACTGGAGGCTGCCGACGCCTAGGGCTGCAGGATCAATGGACAAGGAGAGTGACAGCTACAGTGTCAGCCCCTCACAAGACACAGGTAGGGGTCTGCATGCCTCCTCCTCAACCCTGGGGATAAGCATGGCCCATAGACGGGCTTCAGAGGCTCCTACTTATGCTCCTTCAAGGTCATTTTCAAATTATTAGACTGTTTAAGTAACAGGTACCAATACAAGCATGCAGCATTGATGATGCCCAGGGCCCAATGATTTCTGCAAAGCAGAACCAAGAGGCAGCTATTTTGCAGGTGTCTTGAATCTCAGACTCATGGTCCTCTCTCCTTTCAGTTCCTACCCAGCTAAGAGAAACACAGATACTTTAAAATTTTCACCCACATGATTTCAAAAATTCCTGATTATACTCTGAGGGCACATGACCCACTACCATCTCTGGGTTTAAGAGGCTACACTTGAAATTTCATGACAAGGTCATAGCACCCTCTATAGGGAACATAGGCTGCTCCTTTTGACAATTAAGCAGGGGTTGATTATAAGGTAAGTCATCCAGTCTGTGCCATCAACCAAGATTTCACTTCGGAGAGAAGACAGGGCCTAAGAATAGCATCGGCTCGTCCCACCCCCCACCTTAACTTTTGAAAAGAAATTATATCTAAACCTAATAGCTGTAGGAAATTTTCATACTCATTTTCTTTTGTTCTGGCTGATATGCTATAAAAATAGTGTTCCAAAGGTGGAGTGTTACCCTGTACATTTATTTTTATGGCTGTTATTTCTCTCAGAAGAGTCTCAGAGTTCCACAGAGGTGATTCAAAACTTTTTAGTGTGTAAAATAGAGATTCCTCTGGCCAAGACGCTCCTCCTCCAGTCCTGGTGGCTCTCTGGGCCCCATAAAATGTGGCAGTCACAAAGGATGGTCTGAGGGACCAGGGGCCATTCTTCCTACTGGCCAATTTCATGCGTCATCCTGGGCTTCATTTCCAACCACCATCACGTCCTCCTTGCCAAGCTGGGGCTAGAGGAGCCGAACTTCAGAGCTCAAACCATCCATGCCAATTAAAGTCTCTATGGAACAGGCTGATTCGCAAGTCAGAGCAGGGGGTGGACACTGCCGTCTGTGTACACCAACTTCCCAATCATTTTAACGAAACACAGAATATTTTTTAAAGATTATTTATTTATTTATTTGACAGAGAGAGAGCACACGCATGCACAAGCAGGGGGAGCAACAGAGGGAGAGGGAGAGAGAGAGAAGCAGACTCTCCACTGAGCAGGGAACCTGATGTGGGACTCGATCCTCATGACCTGAGCCAAAGACAGGCGCCTAACAGACTGAGCCACCCAGATGTCCTGAAGCACAGAATTTTTTAAGCATTGCTGATTGACGGAAGCGTCCAGGCTGGGAACAATTCCACTGAAACAAAGTTCTCTGAGCCCACTTTACCAAGGCGCACAGAGCAGGCCCCACAGTGACAAAGGCAGTTCTCAGTCAAAGACCCAGGACCCCTGCCAGGTGGTACAAGGATCTGGGAGAGACAGCCACAAGCCAGAGATGGCCATCCAGTGGGGCCATAAAGCAATAATTGATCCATCTTGTTCTCTCTTTTACACGCGGCAGATCGAGCGCGAAGCAGCATGGTCTCCACAGAAAGTGCCTCCTCCACTTATGAAGAACTGGCCAGAGCCTACGAGCATGCCAAGATGGAAGAGCAACTGAGGCACGCCAAGTTCACCATCACAGAGTGCTTCATATCAGACACATCATCTGAACAGTTGACGGCAGGGACAAACGAGTACACAGACAGTCTGACCTCCAGCACCCCTTCAGAATCGGGGATCTGCAGGTTCACTGCATCTCCCCCCAAACCTCAGGATGGAGGTCGAGTGATGAACATGGCAGTTCCAAAGGCACATCGGCCAGGTGAGAAAAGCAATGCATGGACCACTGTATAGGAGACACATCTTCCTGATTCACACCCGTCTGCTATGAAAGCCTGTCCTGGTGTTTGGACTTGGGGCTCTGGTTACAGGTTGCTGTGTAATGAACCACCCCAAAGCTTATGGGTTTCCAACAGCGACAGTCACTTATTTTGTTTACACATCTGAAATGTAGTCCAGGCTTGGTGCGGACAGCTCATCTCTGCTCCAGCCGTGTCACTGGGGAGGCTTACTTAGGTCCAGAGGAGCCCTTCCCAAACGGCTCCCTCAACTGGCAACCTGGTGCTGGTCGTGTCCTCCCTGGTGGGTTTCTCCCCAAGGTGGCTCCAGCTTCTTCATATCATGGCAGCTCGGTTCTAAAGCAGGCATCCTGACAGGCAAACAATAGAAATAGCCGATCTCATAAGGCTGGGCCTGGAAAGTGACACATCGCTTCTGCCATATTCTGTTGTTCAAGCAATCAAAGAGCCCAAGGAGCTCAGGCTGGAGAGAGGGAGACCCCATCACATGATGAGAGGAGGCTCAAACACAGGGGGCTTATGTTTTAAAGCTGCTGTACCAAGGACTTTCAGAAGGAGAGAGGTCTTACCAGTGGGCCGATGCTTGGGCCTTGGTTTCATTGAGCTACCCAAAGTGACAGTGACTGGCTGGGGTTTGGTCAGCCACTGTTCAGTCTTTGCCTTGAGCCTGTGAGAGGTGGACTGGGTGTGTGAGAGTACTTGGTGTGTGGATGGGAGCTCTGAGCTCTAAGGCCTGCAGGGCCTGGCAGATCACATGTGTAAGTGAAGAAGATGGGGAGCAAGGAGAAGTGGGGTGAAACATGATAGACAGTTTGAGTTCACAGACTATCTAGAGGGGATAGACTCCAGTATGTTCCCGCCAACTCATCCCAAGTGGAAATGGGGGGCCAGGATGAGTGACTTTCTCAAGAGAAGCCAGAAATCTTGGTTTTTCTATGGAGACCCACAGTTTTCAAGTGTTGGGTCAGATACCTGCAAACCACTGTAGAGGGCAAATAAATACATTATATACTGAATCCAACCATGGCAGCCAGTGGTACTTCTCATCTGAAGAATCACTCCTTCTTCTTCTTCACCCTGAAATAGCTGCCAAAGTCTTTCCTTTGTGGACCGGCCTATCCATTCTTGTTGAATCCAGTTTTATTTCCTCTTTTCGCATTTTCTGAACCACTCTACTAGTCTTATTTCAAAAATTTATCTTCACTTTTAAATTACTGCAATTCCCTTGGGTTTTATGGCATATAGCCCAGCTGAAATGAGCCTTATAAATGCATAAAAATATATAAAATAAGAATTGTCTATCCAGCAACTAATCTTCCAAACTGAGTCAAGATTCATGCCAGCATACAATAAAGAATGATGGCTTCATTTATTCTCATTCTGTCTACCTCCTCAGGGAGAAGATGAGCTGTTATTTGTGGGTGTTTTTATTTCAGGCATTTCTTGTTGTTGGCATTTATTTGCAAGGCAAATGCAGAAAAACACAGGATAAAAACATAAGCTCTTCGTGGCTGTTAAGCCGAGGCGGAGGAACACAGGAGAGGAGAAAATGTGCCTCTGGGCATGTTGCTTAGCCTTGGTGGCCTTCAGTTGCCCCACCTGTAAAATGGGCATGACCCTGGTGTAAGATATGTGTAGCATAATTTGGGTAAAGTGGTTAGTGTTGTTGTTTCTGTTTTTGCCTTATTGACGCTGTTGTTGGGATTCTCATGGTGACTCCGGTGTGGTCTCCAGATGAGCTGCTGGCTCCTCTCCTCCTTCCCTCTTTTGTTTATTTCTCTTCGGTGGTCACAGACATCCTGGGAAGCATTGCCTCATTTGGGTATCACCCAGTTAAGTACGCCATGCTTCCTTTTTTTTTTTTTAATTTTATTATGTTATGTTAGTCACCATACAATACATCATTAGTTTTTGATGTGGTGATCCACGATCCATTGTTTTCGTATAACACCCAGTGGTCCATGCAGTACGTGCCCTCCTTAATACCCATCACGGGGCTAACCACTCCCCCCTCCCCCCTCCCCTCTAAAACCCTGTTTGTTTCTCAGAGTCCATAGTCTCTCATGGTTCATCTCTCCCTCCAATTCCCCCCCCCATTTTTCCCTTCCTTCTCCTAGTGTCCTCCATGCTATTGCTTATGTTCCACAAATAAGTGAAACTATATGATAATTGACTTTCTCTGCTTGACCTAGTTCACTTAGCATAATCTCCTCCAGTCCCATCCATGTTGATGTAAAAGTTGGGTATTCATCCTTTCTGATGGCTGAGTAATATTCCATTGTATATATGGACCACATCTTCTTTATCCATTCATCTGTTGAAGGGCATCTTGGTTCTTTCCACAGTTTGGCTATTGTGGACATTGCTGCTATAAACATTGGGGTGTATATGGCCCTTCTTTTCACAACATCTGTGTCTTTGGGGTAAATACCCAGCTTCCATTGGCAGCCATCTTCCCTTGTATACAGGAGCTCCTGGGTGAAATGATAGTCTTATTTGTGCAAGCTTTGAATTAATTAAAGGCTTGAGTTTCTTTTTGATGTCTTGTTGTTCCTCTTGTTAGATTCAATTAAAAAAATTTTTTTGAACTTTTTTTTAAATTTTATTTTATTATATTATGGTAGTCACCACACAATACATCATTAGTTATTGATGTAGTGTTATGACATTGTTGCCTGGATCCATCAGAACAATTGAAAGATCACAATTAACTGAAGTAGTATAGTCTTAAAATGCTATTTAGACTAAAATGACTTTATAACTTTAGGTATGAGTCACTTTTTAAGTCAACACAAGTCCTAATGTCCACATACTTTGTTTTGTCCATCCTAAATGACTGTATTATTATTAATGAATATTTGATATGCTTTTCGGAAAGCCTTCCTATTGTCCCTTTATGAGACTAAATTCAACACCAGGCACAAAATCCAAGGTTACAATTTATTATTCTGATGACTGGAGGCTGCATCAAAATCATCAGTTCCTTGAGCTGCGCTTTCAAACCTCAGTCCTACCTGTGTCCCCGTGGCTCTAGAAGGCATTGATCAGCATGCATCTCAACGAAGTCTTCCCAGTCTCTGTACATCTTTCTCCTCACCATCGGCTCTTCCTGTGTGATGGTCTTTTCCTCCATTTGTGGTCCAAAACTTTTAAACACTCCACAAATCAAATCAGGATCAAGTTAAATCAACATGGCCAGATTCTGGCTCCAGGAAGACAGAAAACATGTCTTCATTGCCTTCCTACTTCTCTCCCCGATTATCTCTAACAGGTAATCTGGCAGTACAGTGAGCACTCAAGAAATATTTTAAATGACTTAGTAGCACTGAATATATGCTCCTATCACTGTGTCTGATACATATAGTAGGTGCTTAATAAATATATTGAATGAATGCATCTATCATAGTTGTGATGATGACAAGACTAGCCAATTGGTTAAAACATGACAATTATTAGAAATTCTTAGTAAAATATAAGAGAACATTCAAGTCGACCCCATTTTCCAGCTTACCTTTAAACAAAGTGATTTATTTTCTATTCTTGCTCTTCACAAATCAAAAGGAAACCTCTTCCACAGATAAAGGGAAGCTCCCCATGAAATGTGATGCCTCACACAGAAGGCAAACATCAGAATCTCACTTCAGATGTTTAACAATACCTGAATTTTGAATTTACTGAATTTTTAGGACTTTTTTATTTTAAATAAAATGCCAATTGCGCTATGGTTTCATTTTCTACAATAAGGGATGGTTATTTCCATCTTTAATAACAAAAGACAAACCAGACAAACAAAACTCTATCTTCCTCTGAGAAATAGCTGGAAGGTTAAGCAAGTTCTTTCCCTCTCAGTCAAGGCAACTTCCAATACTTAGGTTACAGTACCTGTTCTTGGGTTCAGGTAGCATTCTAAGCCAGTTTCTAACATTCTTGGATTGTGGCTGCTCCTTTATTCATGAGTTTATCCTATGCAATCAAGAAATACCCTTGCACGAAGCTACCTAAATCAATTTAAAGCTTCACATATGCAACCAAATGCATCCTGGCCCCATGAGCAGCAGGAGAAGTGTCAGCCCCTTTAGATCTCTGCACTCACACTCTGGGACCCCAGCCTTAAATATATGTTCATCGGTCCCTCTTGTGATGAACACACTTGAGGTTTTCCGGTCGGAAAGGATCACAGACTGCTGCTAACTTGTTGGTTCTCTGAACAACCAGTGACCTGAAGCAGTTTTTGGTTTGCGGTGTTCAGATCCATTCATGCCATCCCTCACAATCTTCTGCATGTGTGCATTTAATCAAATGGAAGAGCGTGGAGTGAGAAGTGCTTACCTGAAGGACACACTGGCCTCCGCTCCAGCAGCACCCTCCAACGAAAGCTGCTCTTTCAGTTCTCAGCTGTCACTGTGATCGTGCTGTTTCCCCTCTGAAGCCCATGTGGTTTTCGTGCTGGCTCTTGAATCAGAATTAGACTCCAGGGATCTTCACTGCCAAAAATCCCCCTCCACAGCTTCTTTCTACCTGCATCTCCCTCGCCACCTGCAGACGTGAGCTCTGCTCCCTGCAGGTCACCTGGCGCAGACTCCCTCCTCCTGACCCAAGGTGCCACACTGGGTTCTTCTCAAGCAGTTCTGTATCCCCCCTCCCCTCGCCCCTTTGGGTCGGGCGACGGGGGTCCCATGCCTCGGGTTTTGCATCCTTCTCCTCTTTTTTGCACTCATTACAATGAGGTTTTGAAATTTCCATCATGAATGCTATTCTAAGAGCTATGGAAAGGGTCTCCTTTCAAGTGCAGGTATCTTTGATACTTCCACATGGACACAAACAGGTGTATACACCATGCATTTGTGCACACCATGCATGCGTACACACACACCATGCACACTGAGCTGCTCTGGCCTCCATCCTTCCAGAGATGCCTCTGCTTCTTCCCTCCCAACCTCCCAGCTCCCTTTCTAACTTCAGC